CCCCCCCCCCCCCGCGTCATTAGGAATATTTCTTAAAACCAAACCTATACCACTTAAAACCACTAGATGGCGGGAATGGAGAGAAGTTAAATCTACACCTAAGGTTCAGATGCTTTGTAAAGGTGAAGGATCAAAATGAAGTGACCCAGCAGAAGAGCAGATCACAAAAACATCCTCAATCCCCCACTCTCCATCCACCTTTTTTAGTATTTATATGAGATATACTACTCAGGTTTGAGTCTGCATTTCCATGGCTATGGGAAGATGTGGAGAGTTGAAATACCTTTGAAAATTAAACTTAGATTACTGAATAACAGTGATTAAATAAAGGCCCTTAGAAATAGTGAGGTTTTATCTATACTAATTAGGGGAGAAGTCTAATTTTTACCTAAAAGTTACATTTTCAAGGCTTACTTTGTTCCTAGTTTGTAAAGTAAGAGGACTGTGATGTATAGTCTTGAATTGACTTTAAAGACTAAGAGTTCTTAGGGATGATGTGTTAACCTTAAAAATCTGAAATGGAATACCTCAAAGAAAAGATATTAACAAGAAATAGAGGATACAGAAACTTACCAGAGAAGGAGAAAAACAAACCTTCTAATGTGCAGGGGTTTTTGTTTTTTTGCTTTTTTTTTTTGTAGAGATGGAAAGGTATTTTTGTTTACTTATTTACTGGTATAGAGGTTTAGGGAATCCCATGTTAGTAGTTAATGAAGTCAGAGCCAACGCACCATGAAAGTTTGGAAACACAGAACTGAAAACACCTGCTGTTTATCTGTTTGTATTAGTTGCAGTGAAAGATGCTTGTTAACAAATCTGTATAGCCTGCATACACGAAAAAAATGTTAACTGGAAAATAAAAGGAGGGCACTACTTAACAATTACTATAAGAAAATTAACCCCGTTCTAATCCAGACAATAAGGTACAAGCATGACAGGTGTCTCTAGAGAATGAAGAGCCACGAATATTCAATTGATGCCAAACTGGCATGACCTCCCCTAGAGATGGGGCAGGTGAACTAAACAGAGCCTTTAAAACTTCCCAGCAGGAAAGTGAACACTTGCAAATATAAACATAGATGTATAACTTTACAAAAACCCCTTAATAAGTGAGAATATAAAACCTGCAACTTCTTTT